TCAAAAGAGCCCCAGAAGGTGGTGATTTTGCCCCCTCTGGCTTTCAGGGGGGGCTGGGTGAGCCTCCAAATGGTCCTAGGTTGTGTTCCATAAGACAGACCTCTCCATAAGGCTCACCAATTTTTAGGAGAAGAAAACAGATTTTTTTCCTGTTTTCTTCTCCTAAAAATTTGGTGCGTCTTATGGAGAGGTGCGTCTTATGGAGCGAAAAATACGGTAATTTATGTCATTTTTTGAAAAGTGCATATCCAGCAGAGTAAAAATCATTCTTTGCCAAGGAAAACATAGCTGCATGTTCTAATTTAGCCACAGACTCCCTCTGTAGCTCTTGGGAACATTAAGAATCCTTAGGGTCCCCTCAGCTAGGTTAAAAAAAATCACCCATGGAATACCATGATGTGTAAGGAACACACATACATTTTTGTTTTGTAGTGTTCAGAGTTTGATCCTGTGTCACATATTCCTCATACTTGAATCCCTCTCCCCCACAGTCTGGATAAATTTTGATATAGCCCAGAGGGGCAGGAATAAAAAAATATCAAAATGCTACACACATTAAAATTTTTAGAACTACAAATCCAAATAACTGAAGCAAAAAAAAATAATCAAAATTATACTTGATCCTTCAGCACTCAAGTTCAAGCCTTCAATTTTCTTCTCCCAGTCATCGTCGGCCAGATACTGTGACTGTAATTACTGACCTTGTTTTCTGGCCTTGTTTTCTGATAGGTACATATTAGTACGTTGAATTCATATTCATTTTAAAAAAAGTAATGCAGCTGATTAAGGATGCACAGAGACTAGACAGGAGTGTGAAAGAAAGATTGTGCTCAACCCTTTGAGCTTGATCCTTTCCCAAGCTGAACTCTCGTGTGCGGGGGTGGTGCTGGAGGCTACAATATACTTTTAACTTCATATTTTCCCCCTCATCTGTAAAAAATGTAGCTTGGACAGAGTAATTTTCAGCTGGAAAAGGCTAAGAGGACTGCTTGCAACTCACCTTTCTGCTCAAATGCTGCCTGCCTTTTTTCATTAAAAGTGCAGAGGTAAGAATCACAGGCTTGTTCATGAAGTATAATTTGAACTGAACTAACTTGGTTTTCAAATTCTATTGTCTACAATGTGACTTCTTCTTTAAATAACACATCTGGTCATTTACAATCCCACCCCCCAATCCATTTTTAAGGAAATGGAAAAAATCCTAAAGAACAGAAAATAATTTACTTTTTAAGCCAGTGAACCAGGAAGTGATGGTCGCCTTCTGTTAAAGCAGCGATCTGTCTTAGCAAGTGAGCATAAATGACATATGTTGATGTGTTACTAAACAGAGGATTCTGAAAAAAAATTAAACACTTTGTAAGTATAAAAATAAAGCGTAACTTCAAGTTACAATGAAAACACTAGTAGAAAAATAATCATAGCAAGATTATTTGGTTGCAACAAATTCTTCTGAATGCAAGAACACAATATATCTTTTCTTTGTCCTACAACTGAAAACAGATTCCTCTCTGTGCACTGAAGAAACATTGAGAGTTTCACATTAAATTAATGGTGACCAGATATGAGTGTGGCCTCTACTGTGCAGTACAAGGGGTTACACCAGTACTAAACTCACCAGCAGGACGAAGATTCAGATTGTGAACACATGGTCAATAATCCTCTATCTAGCACTTCACTGAAATCCTTACAGCTGTGTTTCAGGACAATCACCATTAAAATCAAATCAAAGTATTGTAACTGTAGTCTAGGAGTGAGTACTATAGGCTGAAAAGACTACACATTCTGGAAATGGATATAATTGCCTTATACATGGAGGAAGCCACCTTGGAGGGAAAAACATATTTAAGGAATCTGGTGAGTAACCATTAGTTTCTGTGATATATCTCAGAAAATTACATTTTAGTCAAAATCTACGATAGATCTTCTAAAAGGAGGTGGTCAGTCTAATCCTCTCAAGAGAAGCAGCTTTGTAACATATCCTTACTTGTACATAATTTTCACCCAGCAAGGTCCACATTCCACAAGTCAACTGCCATGCCTACAAATGAATACCTTTCTGAGCAAAGGTGCCATTGGACAAAATCCTGTTGTATATCTACATCAGCATAATTCCAAGTCACAGAACTGGTTGCAATTCAATTCCTTTATTAGAAATCAACAGATCAGACAAGTTGTTTCAAAATTCACACCTAGGTGAAAATCATACTCAGCAAGCAGTTCCACAGATGCAGTTGCGCAACTCTAGTTACGCAATCAGGTATGCAATGCAGACTATCTGGTCATAACTCCCTATGAACTTCTGCAGGCATTAACTTACGCTATGCCAAGTACAGTAGGATTTCAACCAATACGTTTTTTCAAACTGGAGAACTGATCTGGATTATCTACAGTATCTCGGATATGATGTACTTTGCTCCTTCTGTGCTGTTGTTTCTACAAATCACTGAAAAGATGCAAAGAACAGTACAGTAGGCACAATCAAGGCCCCGTCAAAACAAAACAAAATGCAACATAGGGGTTCCGACTGGTGCAGTAAATGCCCATGTAATAAATAACAGCTTCTCCTACCTGCAAAAGCACAAAATACGCTCTAAGATCATCTTTTGTTCGTGGGCTGAAAGCAGATTAATAAGATAAAGAACAGAAGTTGAGTTTGGAAAATAATTTCCTAAAAGTAATTCATTCCCACCACTCATTACAGTATTTGAAAAGTCATCCATTATTATTATTTTTTAAACTGTTGATTGTTAGTTCTTATTTCCTTCCGTCACTTTTTATACATTTTATTTAAAAACCTCTTAGGGCTGATAAAAGAATGGCATAAAATGTGAAAACTGCCTCTATGGCCTTTACAAGTAACATTTGAAAGTACCGTATTTTTCTATGTATAAAACACACTTTTTCCTAAAATAATAAGAGGTAACATTGAGGGTCGTTTTATACACATAAGTAAGGGGGGGAGGGATCAAAGCGCTTTGATCCCTGTTTTCTCCCTACACTTTTTGCACTTTTATTGCAAAAAGCTTCTTTCCTGGAAAGCAGCTTTTTGCAAAGAAGTGTAGGGGGAAAGCACTTTCCTCGCAATAAAGTGGAGAGGGAAAGCAGGAATCAAAGTGTTTGATCCCTGCCTTCCCCTTCCATTTTCTCACAATGTAAGAAAATTTGGGTTAGAAAAGTGGGGGGGGGGTCTTATACATGGAAAAATACAGTAAGCAGAACACACTTCTCAATGAAATAATTATGACCCTATTTCTGAAATACAACTTTATTAGACCCCTGTTATATAGAAAAACAACTAATTACAGGTGACTACATTGTTACTTCCCAATTCTGCTGAAAGGTACAATCTAAAGAAGCATATGAATATCACATCACATATGAATATTCTGCACTACAATTTGAACTTTTCTTTTTCATCAGGCTGACTGTGTGTTTGGCCATGGGCAAAAACTATGTAAAAATCTTAGTTATTACCAAAATGTTTACTGTTCAACCAAAGTTAAGGGAAGAAATATTCCACCTGGCGACATAACAACATAGCTGAAGGTGTCCGTGCTGGTTAGGGGATTCTGGGAACTGTAGTCTTTTTAAAAAGCATTTCCCCCTGAAAATTTGGTACCGTATTTGCCGCCGTACAAGGCGACTGGGCGTATTAGACAACCCCCCAACATCCACTCAAAATATAGAGTGGACGGCTCTGCTGCAGAACCTAGAAGTTCATGGCCGGCGAGGAAGGAAAGGGCGAGAGGGCGGGCGGCAGAGGACGGGAAGGAGGAGCAGCTCTCAGGTGGCGCACAGGCAAGCGGGTGAGCTGGCTCAGCTGCCTGGGCAGAAGGAAAGGGAAGCGGGCGGCGGTGGCGGAAGGATGGGAAGGAGAAGCAGCTCTTTGGTGGCGCACAGGCGAGCTGGCTCAGCTGCAAGGGCAGAAGGAAAGGGAAGCGGGTGGCGGCGGTGGAAGGATGGGAAGGAGAAGCAGCTCTCCGGTGGCGCGCTTGCGAATGGGCTCAGCTGCCAGGGCAGAAGGAAAGGGAAGTGGGTGGCGGTGGCGGAAGGACGGGAAGGAGAAGCAGCTCTCCAGTGGCGCGCGGGCGAGCTGGCTCAGCTGCCTGGGCAGAAGTAAAGGGAAGCGGGGGGTGGTGGCGGAAGGAGGGGAAGGAGAAGCAGCTCTTTGGTGGCGCACAGGCGAGCTGGCTCAGCTGCAAGGGCAGAAGGAAAGGGAAGCGGGTGGCGGCGGTGGAAGGATGGGAAGGAGAAGCAGCTCTCCGAAGCCTTCTAACCAACACAGCAAAGACCGCCTTTAATTATATCTTAAACAACACAGAAATAGTAGTAATATACCCACTGCCTCAGAAATAAGTCCAAAGCAAGTTGTGTGGTTCCCTGGCTTATGATCTGTATTTGGAAGAAAGGTATTCACAAATTAAATATGTAATTTAGGACTTGCAAAATTCATTTATGAACTTGGGGCCAAAGGGCCAGAAACTTCAAGGAATAGCAGTAGGTCACAGTTCTGTACAGACCTGACGTTTTACATTTACATAGAAAGCCTTTTGACAAAAACATTTAGGAATGACAATTTCAGTATGTAACACCGGACAAATGCTAAAGGACAATAGGGAGATTTCAGAGATACTGAATCAATTCTTTTGATTAAACTTATTTGTTCCAACTGGAGTAGACTCACTGAAATAACAGAACTTACATTAGTGTTAGCAAGTCCTATTCAGTCAATGGGCTTACTCAAACTGGAATTAATAAATAGATTTTGCCCTTTATCTCTCTCATCATGACTATGGAAAATATAGGGGATATGCCAATTCCTTTACTGACTTTTTACAAGGAGGGTGCCTGAAGAACCTAGTGAAATACTGATAAACAGATGTAATTCAAGACCTTACAGTGGTGCCCCGCTAGACAATGACATCGCAAAACGACAAATCTGCATGACGATGACTTTTTGAGATCGTTATAGCGCTTCGCAAAACAGCCTTTCCTATGGCCAATTTTTGCTAGACGATGTTTCGGTCTGTGCTTTGCAAGACTTTTTTTCCAGGACCAATGCTTCGCAAGACGACGATTTTAACAGCTAGGTCTGTGATTCGCAAAACAGGTGTTTTCAGGACCGATGTGTCGCAAGACAGCAATTTTATCAGCTGATCGGTGCTTCGCAAAACGATGACGATTTTTCCCCATTGGAACGCATTAAACGGATTTCAATGCATTCCAATGGGGAAACACTTTTCGCAAGACCATGTTTTCACAAGACAGCGATTTCAATGGAATGGATTAGCATCGTCTCGCGGGGCACCACTGTATTTTTCAGAGTGCAGTAGAGTAGTTCAAAAGCTTATTCACAAACAGCATAAGGCAAAGCACAGAACAGGAAGAGACAGTTCTAGCAATAGGAGGAAGTTATCAGTAAGGTCTTCAAGGATTTGTTTTGGTACTGATGCTATTTAACATTTGTGCTCACATTAGCACTGTGCAATGTTGTGGCCAAGTTTGCAGATAATACCAGATTATTTGACAAAAAGCTAAAATATGTCACATTGCCTAGTTGAATAGGTAACAAGCCAGAAAAGAGATTTGGCATAAATAACAAATGCACTTTGGAGTTCATTGTCCTATTTCGCTTCTGCTATTGACGGGGTCTGAACTGAGAGTAACTAACCAAGAGAGATATCCTGGAGAAACACAAGAGTGTGGCAGCTGTGAAATTAAATGCTAGGGATTCGTTGGGAAACAGTCAGAATAGAAATTTCCTTCTAGAAGTCTATGGTGTACCTGAATTTGGAATACTTTGTACAGTTTTGATCATACCATCTCAAAAGAGATTTCAGACCTGAAAGAGGTGCAGAAAAAGACAATCAAAATGGTCAAGGGACTGAAACATCTTTAAGAGCAGAAGTATTTCAATTTTGTAAAATTTAGGCAAAACCAACAAGTGGAAACCACAATAAGATCTTGCGATTGATCCTCAGCCCTGAGCATTTTTCTCTTCTGCATCATTTCCCAAGTACAGTATACTTAATGATCAGAGTATACAGCAGTCTGCCATATGGCAAGAGGTTTAGTTTATTAATGATGCAGATAAAAGGTTATCATACATGCTTAATGCAGGTTCTAAATTACACTTAGCACAGCAACTCCTGTTCCTGGGTAGTTCAATATGAATTTGGTAAACACATTTATCAGATCATAACAGCCTTACATTTTCTGGCTTTCTCCTGTTTTTGTGTGTGGAGAAAACAGTTTTCCTTCTTCCTCTTTTTTTTAATCTCCCAGATGAAAGCAACTAAGATTCTGGCCTGCTATCCAGTCTGATATTCAACAGTTCTTCCTCATTATTGTATTGACTCGCCATCTCGAGATGTTAAGCCCTTTATAGGGCTGAGTCAGTGGTTGAAGTCCTATTGCTTAATTACGCATCTGGAAGTCAAGTGACAAACATTCAACCACTTCTAACTGGTAATTATTGGGTCCTTGTGGGAATTCTTTAGCATGCACGAAGCCCACAGGCGTGCACACTCCCAAGAATCCCAGGAGTGACTTGCTAATTGTCAGCTAGAAGTGTTGTTGTTTGCCTTCTCTGTGTGTAATTAAGTAACAGGATTTCAGTCAGTTTGTAACTGTTCAAGGTAAGGCATATAAGATTACCATGAAATATCCTGTAACACTGTAATACAGGAAAACATAGGACTATACTTTAAGATAATGGTCAAGTATTAAATTTCTAGTTTGTCATTATTGTAACCTTAGTATGTTTTAGGTATTTCAAAAAGGGAGGTGGTGAAATGATGAAATATGGCAATACTGAAGTTAGAAGCTGTGTGTTGAAATTTGGCAGAGCGCTAATAATAGCACTAAAACAGAAGTAGCAGCAGCAGCAGTCAGTAATACTACTACTACCACTAGTATCAGTACTACTACTAATAGTAATAGCAATAACACCAGTAAAGATGTTAACACAAAATACTAGACACTGCTACTGTAAATAGGTCCACGCTTTTCTTATATTGCAAACCAGTGAACTCAATATACTATAGTATGAGACCTACTGCTGCACCAAGATGTTGTGGCATTTTGGCTCCATTCTTCCCCTGTATTGATGTAAATATCTTTGCCAAATGAGGATAAGGCTTTCTGGAGGTAAAAAAGTGAGCTCTGCTTGTTGACAAAAATTAATATTTTCTAAAGTTTGTGCTACAAATAACTCACTTTTCAAACTTTCATCCTACAGAATCTTTAAAGGACTTCTATAGGGTAAACATATATAAATATTAGTAATAATTACCCTTTCCATTCCTGTAATAAGACGTTAATTATTCCTTTTAAGACACACTTCTGGATATCCTGAGGCTAGAACAGATGAAGAGAGGAGAAGGAAAAATTCCACAATGAACATTCAACCAAAGAACTAATTCCCACACTTACCATTATCAACATGTAGCTGAGGCATGACTAAAGGCTGTGCTCTCATCGAAATGACTGAGGACAGTTTAAATTCTTGCAATTACACACACACACACACACACACACACACTTATTATTTATAGTGCAAATACAAAAAATGTAGCTGTGTAATACATTGATAAGAGAGTTAGATAGTATGTTTATTGGGTCATTAAAAAGTTACAAATAAGGTGAGCATTTGAGTCCTCCAGAACCTTTTCTCAGACAAGGATGGTAGGTGGCTGCTGCAAATGAGGCTGCTGCATTGCAGCCAACCAGCCTTCCTGGTTTTTAAACAAACAAAAAAATAAACAGACAGACAGACAGACAAAGGAAGGAAGGAAGGAAGCAAGCAAGGAAGGAAGTAAGTATATATTTGTTCCTTTTCTGTTCTTTTGTGCTAACAACGGAAGGAAATAATTGGTCATTTAAAATAATCTCCCTTTTTTATACTGCAGATTAATAATAAAAATGTATAAGATGGCTGTAACAGTCAACCTTGTCAGTGTTACTTAGGTATTTAATGAATTGTGGCTCCCAGCCCTATTGAACCCCACAGAATGGCAGGCAGCTATTATTTATACTAGCTTGTTCCAATTACTGTACAACAGTCTTTCACTGAGAGAGATCTATTTTATTATGCTATAATGTATCACATGGCTCATTAAGACCACATTTAATTTATTTTAAAAAACGATATAACTATAATCATAGTATCTATAAGGCCTCTTCATTAAAACATTAATATCTTGCCTTCCTGTCAAAGACCTCCAAGCAACTTACAATATAACATATTAAAACAACTGACAGTATCCGATTGCTTATGAGCCATGTGTAGAATGGTCTGTTCAGTGAATAGTTCCCCCTCACCTCCGCCGTTTGTACAACCTTTTGTGTAAGTGGAAATCCTACCATTTTCAACAGAGTGTTGCATAACTGCAAGCCATAGATTACTAGGATAAATGCTCCAGCTGCAGAGCCCTTATGCTCTGCATATGCCAACATGATTCCGGTGAATTAATCTACAAGTTGCCAAAAGAGCACATACAACAGCTTGAAAAACATCAAAATGTAAAAAATAGAGCGACATACAGAAGTGAACCATCCTAAGCCTTATCTGTGCTTGCCAACTCTCTGCCAATATATACAGTATCTACTTGAAAGTACCAATATTTTGGAAACACCACTGTTATAAGTAGCTGTGTGGGCAAAGCATCTGGAATTAGCTGATACTACCATAGCAATTTTGTCTCTCTCTCTCTCTCTCCTGTCCTGTCGAGTTGGAACCGACTTATAGGGACCCTAATACTGTAGGGCTTTCAAAGTAAGTGAGATATTTAAAGAGTATTTTTTCCATTTCTACTCCCCAGTGAGTTTCCATGGCCAAATGGGGATTCAAACCCTGTTCTCCAGTCCTAGGCTGACACTTTACCCACTACACCACACTGGGAATCCACAGCAACTACACAAGGTATGATATCATAGCATAGCCTATCTTTATAACCAGCAGAATGACTCACAAGACTGAATCCTATGGAGCTGATTTTCTTTAGCTGTTTCCCAGTCCCCTATGGTTCTGCATTTAAGAATGAAATCTCAAAGAATTATAAATACCAAATGTATGTAATTTATTTACATCAAAAACCACGCTGTATCTTTTGAGGGCTGCAGAATATATGGAAGCCACTGGGGTTGTGGTCAAGAGTGTTTAAGGACACCAGAAAATAAAATAAAATAAAATAAAATTCTGAGGTCCTCCAGGAGTTGATCAGAATGTTAGGGCTAATCAACAGCGATTAGCCTAGTGACTTAACTACTTACTTCACACAGATATGTATACTTTTCCTCAAAATCCCTTTTTGCAAATATTCATTTAGGAAACCAAGAAGGGATATGATTTGGAGTGGAGAAAATGTTGGGTACGGAAAATAATGAAATACAGTACAGATTTGCATGAAGGTTTTGTCTCTAACTAGCACTTACCAATTGTATTCAATTATTATTATCATTAAAAATATCGGAACTGTTAATAAAACAAAATAAATATATTAGAAAATTAAGATTATGACCATCCTTGTCTTGTTTGCACCTTGACAGCTTGCAAGCAGTGAGTAAAAAGATTTTGGCACACACTCAAACAAAGATTGAGATTAATTGGTGGAAATCATCTGTTGATGCCAGACTGAAGTAAAATAAAATAAAATAAGAAATATCAGTACTTTAAAACAGCAATGTACCAGATTAGCCCAACAGACAAACTCTTGTGTTGATGTAAGCTAAATGCATGCCAACAAAATGTATGAAGGATGGCTCAGTTTTCTAATGAAACAGGGAAATAACACCATGCAAAAAAAGGTATTTCTTTTGCTTTTGAATACCTGGGAAGAAATTAATTACATGTAATATTGAGAGAAAGTGGAGCTTAGTTACTTGGCCATTAAGCACAAGGTCACTTTTTTTCTTGCATTAGTTTATTTTCTCTACTACACATGCAGACTTTAGAGAGTATAAACAATTAACCCTTTAAACCTTCAAACCTTCAAACAATTAACCCTTCAAATTAAGTCTTTCTCTCTCTCTATCTCTCTTTTTGGCTATTCCATCTTGGTAATCCTTTCTTTAAATTAATTGTTTTAAATTGAAATTTGTAATTTTATGATTTTATATATTTTTATACTGTTTTGTTTTATTTTGTAAGCCACCCCGAGTAGACATGGTCTAGAGGGGCGGGGTAAAAATCAAATAAATAAATAAATAAATAAATAAACCACCTGACACATTCTTTTACAGAGGCTAGGAATAAAATGCTAATAGTAATTATAGTAAGCAAGATTTTTTTCTCATATACTTAGGTAATTTTTTTTTATCACAACCCACAAAGACCTTTCTACAGCCCCCTACTATAAAGAAATAGAGAACAGAATAAGGAAGACTGCCAGAAAGGGGAAACGGTTGGAGCTGTTAGCAATTCAAGATGCAAATTAATTCATGATCACCTGAAAGGAAGGAAGTGCTTGTTGGCTTAACATGCTAGGTAGTTTGCATGACCCTCCTTTTCCTGAACAATTAAATGACATTCTTTCTTTGGCAGGTGAAGATGACCCCTCCTCTATCTTCAGCTGCTTTACTCACCAAGTGAAATGACTGTAAGTCTTTAAATGTCTTACATGTTCTTAAATGTCAACTGTTCAAACATATATTCTTAAAATTCCAGTGCTAATATAATATACTTTCACAAATGTTTAAGCTATATATTAACATGAACTGAAGTAGACATGCTTCTTTCCTCAGCAAGTCTTCAGTTAGTCATGACAATACTGACCCATTGATCTTGATGTGTCTAGTGTACTGTGATCCCAACTCATTGTCCATATGTATTCGCGAAGGCTTTCGCGGCTGGGATCTAATAGTTGTGGGGTTTTTTGACTCTTTGGCCATGTCCTCTGAAGATGCCGGCCACAGAGACTGGCAAAACATTAGGAAGAACAACCTTCAGAACACGGCCAAAGAGCCCGAAAAACCCACAACAACCAATCATTGTCCATAATCTGCAATTACTGAATAGAAGATATTTGGACTACCAATTGATAATATTACACTGTTGTAGCTGTATAATATAGATAGCAACTTTTAAAATAAAATATGTGTACAAAAACACACTATCATTTTACTTACAGCACTTGGTAAGGTGTCATATACTACATTCACAAATTCAAAATCCACTCCACAGTCTTCAATGGAATTGAAAGAAGCATCTGTGTATTTCTGCAAATTGAGGCAATACATTAAAGAAAATGATGTAACATTGTTGCACATCCCAGTACAAAAACTAATGGATTTTAAAAATAAAAAACATGTGTTTGAGATACACATGCCTCATTAAAAGTGTGCTCTTTTCTTTATATCATCTTTTTTTTACTTTCTGTTTGCTCCTATTATACAAAGCACATATTTGCTTTATTGCTAGTTAATGTTTTACCCAAAGTTAGAAACAAACAGAATGTTATATACACATTCTGAGAGAGTGGTTTTACCTTAAATGCAGTATTGACATCTTGAAAAGAATTAAATGTTCTTGAGTAAAATTCATACACTGCCTTCCAGTCTCCTGTCAGCTTAGCTTTTTCCATATCTTCCCTAAACAGAAAGCAAAAAAACATGACCATTATATGGCTACTAGAAAAGCTTGTCCAAACAGATTTGAATATGTTTAGAAACTTAGAAACAGAAAATACTAAGTGGCATCCCACACTTAAAACTTTTCCATTAACACAGCAAAATGCTTGTGTACATGAGACAGTTTACTCAGGAACTTGAAGGTTTAACATGTCAATTGTTCCAATCATTCTTTTTTGGTAAGTTGATCTGTTTTTAAAAATTTTTTACTTTTAAGTATATTTTCATCCTTTTACAAATTACTGTAGTTTGTGCCACACATACAATTGTATTTTATGCAGAGGTTTCTGTATGTGGCAGAGAAGGAATGGTGGTGATGCAGAAAAAGAGCTTGTTACTTTGACATTGTGCAAACATATATTTGCTGAGTATGTGTCCTGCAGAGCACCACAGCATGGTTGGTGTGCTAAAGTAATGGGGTACCATTCTCTCAAAGTCATTCCTGACCAGCAGATCAAAGTTCTCCCACAACCACTAGATTTTGGAGATGTATTCAACCATATAGAATTGGACACTGTCCTCATTCCCATCTTTTTCTAATTACTCTGCCTCCTGAATCCTGACTGCTCAAAAACCACGGGGCTGGCATCTCTACTAGCCTGTCTTGTGATGTCTATGGCTGGCATATGCAGACTGTCTCCTGGAATGCAGACTGTCTCCTGGAAACAGCAGCATGGATTGCTGTGATAGGGGCAGACACTTATTTGCCTGACTAGCTACTACTAGCTACTTCCTTTTAAGGTAACTATTTGCTCCCCCCCCCCCATGAGTGACTTGAAACAGAAGGAAGGTGGCAAGATTAAAGCCACCTAGCTAATTAGGTGGCTGCTTTACTTTGGAGTTGTGCTGGTTCACTAGCAAGAAATGGTCCTGAAGACACTTTGTCAGAAACCAGAACTCTAACAATTTTGAGCTCAGCTACTCCAGTTCTCTGGCTAACACCAAATATTTGAGCCAGAGAGACAGAGAACAAAAGAGAGAGAGAATGAAATAGAAAAATGCTGGAGATACCCTAAGGGAAGGGAGTGAGATATATACTGATATGAAGATTCCCCTAACTGGTTTCTCTGGCTTGCTTACTTTTCATCATCGTCATCATCGTCATCATCATCATCATCTCTGAACTGCAGAGCTGGAAGGGACACTCTGGATCATCGAGTCAGCCCTTGTCAAGGAGGCACAGTGGAGAATTGGAACTCCCAACCTCTGGTTCGATAATCTGTTGCCTAAACCACTGAGCTTTGTTTGTTTTAGACAGCTGAGCACATGTTTCTCAGATCCCATTGTCTGACTCTGCTTTTTGCTGGATGCAGTAGCAGTTCTTGAAGCCTTAGTGGCAGAAGAATCCAGAATGCTGAGAAAAAAGCCACCGCAGCAACAACAATCTAGCAGTTTTTTCCCTGCCTTAGAGGTAGTATGGTTGTTCCCCCCCTCCAATATTAACAAGCTTCCCCTCCCTTTTTATTTTTCATCCAGTAGAACAACTCAAGTGGGTTAATTGGGAGAAGCCTCTTAAAAAGCCCCTCGTATTTTCCAACCTGAGATTTTGTTTGAGTGCATAGCTTGAAATACTTATCCATGCACATGGACTCCCATATATTTTTTCTTTCCGTTCCCCATCTCCAATTTTCAAACTATCTAGCCTGATGAATAGTTCTACAGAGCTATGGCTGGGTATATTGTGTTAATCCTAATAGTAGATCCTAAGAAAAGTATTGCCTAATTAGCAGATTTTGGGGTCTTGTTTTACTTGTATGGACACAGCCTCACCCCCTTTTTGGTATGGTCTTTATGATCCTACTTGGCATTTCTTTCCAGGATGACAAGGAACCATTGGTGAGCACTCTTTCAGTACAGCCCATCTGCCAGCTAGAAATCCACTTAACAGTACAGTGGTGCCCCGCATAGCAACGATAATCTGTTCCGAAAAAATCGTCGCTATCCGGATTCGTCATTATGCGGGGAAAAAAACCCCATAGGAATGCATTAAAACACGTTTAATGCGTTCCTATGGGCAAAACCCTCACCGCTATGCGGAAATCCTCCATCCGGCTGCCATTTTCGCTGCCTGGTGAGGAAAGGGCGCGAAAACACTGCGGGCGGCCATTTTGTTTACCCGGCGGCCATTTTGGAACCGCCGAGCATCTATTTTTAAAACATCGTTATGCGATAATCAGTAAGCGAAATGCTTACCGATCATGGCAAAGTGATTTTTAGCCATCTAAAACATCGCAATGCGATCCCTTCGGCGATCGCAAAAACCTAATCGCTATGCGGATTCGTTGTTATACGGGGCCCTGGTTATGCGGGGCACCACTGTAGTTTTGGCCATAAGAATATGGACAGGAACTTTGTCAAAAGCCTTGCTGTTAAATACTATTGCCACAATATTCTAGTATGACAAGCTTTGGAGAAACCTATGCATTGTCTTAGAAATCATGGAGTTCCCACACATCGACTGTTTGATTATCTGTTCTTGAACTTTTCCTGGTATCGTATATTAAGCGGACAGGTCAGGAGTTTCCCAGATCTTCTTTTTAACTCTGTTTGAAGATGGGGATGACATTTGCTTGCCTCCAGTCTTCAGAGGCCTCACCTGTTCTCCAGGAGTTATCAAAGATGGAAGTTCTGAGACTATAACTGCAAGTTTCTGTAACATCCCTGAACGTAGTCCATCTGGCCTAGGAGACTTGAAGTCATTTAAAGCAGTGGTCCCCAAACTTTTTGACACCAGGGATTGGTTTAGTTGAAGACCATTCTCCTAAGGATTGGGGGGGGTACTTGTTATGCAGTAGGTTGTTGGAGGATAGCTTTGAAATGAGCTCATTACATGTATTGTGCTGGGATAGATGAGCAACAAGCAGAAGGTGAGCTGCAATGGAAGCTCCACCTCCTGTTACATCAGCAGCGGCTCAGAACCTAATAGGAGCACAGGCTCCTATTAAATTCTAATGCCACAGGCACAGCTGATCTAGCAGCAGGAGCTCACAGCAACTTCTGCAACAACTGTACTATTAATCTCAAGTAAGTAGGAACTGAGTATGTAACTATACAAAAAAGATAATATACTGACAACTCTAAGCTAGTGATACAAACTCACATATAAAAATGTTGCTTACCGGAAGTCATTCACAGTTTTTGTTTGGATGGGAAGAGGAGTTTCTGGAGGGACAGAAACCTTCATTTCTGCAGGAAGTACATCCACAGATGTGCGCTGCTTTTGTCTAACATCATGGCCAAGAGATGGAAGCTCTTTTGCTGATTCAGAATTAAATGTTTTAAACTCGTAAACTGTAACTACAAAAATAATCCTACAGTCCTCATTCAAATCAGCAGTCAGTCTAAGAAATGCAACTACCTAAACATGCATACCTAAACACAAATATTACTGGAATAAATTGAGGCATTTTCAGTTAATCATAAAACTCAAATATACTGTGAAGGATAAATAAACAACAACAACAAAACAACAACCACAATACTTAAATCTAGAGCAAAGATTGGAAATTAATGGAATTAGTGTAGTGGTCATTGTGACTTTAATAAGCTAAAAAGAAATTCGATAAATTACATTTATATTTGTAAGGGGACTTTTAAAATATGTATGTTATTTTTTAGTTGGTATTTATATTTATTTCATGTCATATTCTAAAAGCCTTATTAGAATGACAGTGAAAATACTATTTATGATTTGACTCCTCCCTCTGCCCTGTTTTGAACTCTGGAGAGAAGGAAACCGTTACTGTATATGAATATAGCAAAGTCCTATTTCTCATCCATCTCCAAAAATTATTCTCTTGGATGTTGTTTTTCTTCTTTCTTATGGTCTGTTTGCTCCTGTTTGAGCTTGTTATGCATATCTGCCTGATGTTACTGGAGATTCAAATCAAGCCCTTCCACATCCCTTCTTATTTCTGGATTATTTCCCCTCATTTGGGAACTGGGGCTCACAGATTTACATGAATAATCAGTGATGAGCCTTGAGTTTGTATGCTCCCCATATGTCCATTTTATATCCAATCCCGGCTTTAAATGAACCGAACTCCCCCTGAGGTGCAAACTTTGGAAACTGTAGCTCATTTGTAGTTTCAAAAGAAGCCAGATCTGAAACTACAAATTAATCCTTACTTGCTCTTACTAACTCTTGTTTAAGGGAAATTTGGATGAGGTGTATTATTTAATATCATAAGTAAAAGATTCTGTTTTCTTCACAACCTGGACAGGAAGGAAGGGTAGAAGAGAGCCTATGATCAGAAGTAGCTCTTGACCAGAGGTGGAGATGCCCCACCCTGAAACTTGGGGAAGAGGCATATCCTCTGCTAAGCCAGAAGACACATCATTCGTGTAAGCTAAGCCAGTATTTCTTGTCAACGTGCAAGTTCTAGCCTACATGGTTATAATAAAAATGTAAATTTGGTTTTGGTATCGTGGTAAGCTATGTCTGCTTGGCTTAATTACCATCTAAAGTGAAGAGAGAAGCAAACAGGCTGGATGCTCATATCATATTTATTAAGTTGGATTTCCTGGCTTGCTGTTATGTCCTAACACAGCCGTTAACAAAGAGCCTGATCAGACGGGCATCTGTCCAGCTGCCTGGTGTGCTGTGGAGAAAGGTTGGTTCACTCTTTTTTCCACTGATCAAATGACATAATCACTAAATTGAACCAATCCATCCCCAGAGCACCTCACCTGCACTTTTCTGAGCTCTTTTTTTTTTTTGGTGCATCTTCACAGCATCTCAAGTGACCCTATTTAGACCACACCAGTCTGCTCCGAAACAGCCAGTGTAGATGAGGCCTTAGAGACTGCAATGAAGCTGCTTTTGTTTGCATGGGAAGAGGAAGGATAGCTAATTCTAACTCAATGCTGCAGCATTACAACTAATTATATCCCAGTATTACTTGTTTATTAAGTGGGAACTGAATTTCAGGTTCCATGTTCCAGTGTTGTCTCACTAAGCCCTTATTTTCATACACCAAACTACAGTTTAGCACTGCAACTGGACCAGTCACAAAGTTAAAGCAAACACATTTCTATACCACCAAATTATAGCCACATGCACACAGTATCATTCAAAGCTCTGTGTTATAAAAATAAGCACAAGAACACATATACAGTATACTGTACATCTCCATTATAACTTCCCATTGTAATGTTACTGTTCTCATTTTGACTCCCAAAATTGGAAAAGGAAAGAAAGGCGTGTCTTCTACTACTCCAGCTTAAACACAAATTTGTGATAAGTATAAACATTCCATTAATATCAGTAGGATAATACAGTTAAAGAAGGTATGGAATTAATAAATTACATTAATTACATTAATAAATTACATTAATAAACAGAGTGTGGAAATACCATCAGATCTGACTACACAATTATTTACCATATATGCTCTGGATCTTCTCTAATAATGTATAAATATTCCTGTTTCTTCTCATTTGGACATTTTTAATGAAGTCAGTGCATGTCTCTAACAAATAAGATGTTTTGAAACAGATACTTAACACCAGTGCCAACAACAACAACAACAACAACAGTGATAGATCAAGTCTACAGCTGCAGAGTTGGAAGGGACCCTGTGAATCATCAAGTCCAGCCCCTGTGAAGGAGGGAATTGGGAATTCAGCACTGTGGAGAGCTAAATTCCCAACCTCTGGCTCCACAGCCATATACCTAAACCACTGAGCTATCCATATGAACTATTATTTACTCTCCTTCCTTCCTTCCATGACACTTAACAATCGAGGTAAAAAGCAGTACTGTACTAAAAGAAGTTTAAAGCAAAGTTTTATTAACTGTACCAGGGTAGCTCGGGTACTGCCAATATTCTACCAGTATGTATTGTTTTTATCCTGAAATAAAGTCACTATAAAAATAACTAAAATCTTGCTTCAGTTCCAACCTGCAGTCCTGGTAACTGTTTTTGGAATGTTGCTTGGTTACACATTATGTAAAAATCACTTAACCAGAGTGCGAGAGGCAAAGAGTGTAAATGAAAAATGGGATAAATAGAATGATTCTGGAGAGAGGAGAAGGTTTTAATTATAAGAAATGGGTGTGGAACTGCAGTTTTTCTTCAATGGCCAACACAATCACTGAAAAGATGCTATTCTTCAAACATAACATTTGGATTCGGGGGGCTACCATGGTGATACTGCAGAAACTGTTACATAGCACAATATAGCTGGAAAATGTAAAACAGTATGGATGAAAAGAGACAAAATATGCTGATCCTGAAAATACATTTGATTCCATACACATCCAGCTATATTGACCAACCAGCTCTCCACTACTGGATAGTGACAAAATTATTGAGTTCACACACTAAGAGTGCTGAGCTCAATATGATGACAAAACTATATTGGTGTGAACTTTAGTTCAAATGTCTCCTGTTGTAATTATTCATATCTATAGGATCAAGGTGTTTTCCTGTCTGCAAGGAATACCAAGTTCAGTACTTCATTGAATGTTCCTTTTGGGCACAGATTGTGATCGGTGATCACTGAACACAATAGTGAGTTTCAAGAAAGAAGCACAGCATTTTCCAAAAGAGACAGCTTGTACTTGGATGTTGGGAGAATGGCAGAGTTGAAACCAAAATGCAGCTATGAATTAACTTGTATCTTGTAGTACAGCTCCTATATGTAGAGTACTCACCAACTTCACACACACCCCTTTTTAAAGAGAGAATAAAAACTAGGGAAAATTTGTAATGTACTATACAAATATTTTTAAAAACTAAAATATTTTTATTATCGAGTTCTAAAGCCTTGCTTGCTCTTTCTTGTCTGCTTCTTTATTCATTTAATTCTTCTTTGCTGTAATGGTAGACTTAACTCCTACTCTTCTCAAACACTTACAATAAAGAGGCCTTCATGGACACTCAAACTATACAGTATCATGTTCCGCAATTGCAGTTCTCTCTAGTGGTCAGAGAAGAGTAATCTTCTATTTGAGAAAGCAGAACAATCTTCCAATGGAAGAGTATGATTTTTGCCATTGATTACTACAATGGCAACATGTGCAAACTGGACCATCGATGTCAAAGCTCATAACTATTAATTCAGCCATTGTAATTTGCATTTGTTAAAATGCTAGTTTGTGCTGTGTAATTCATTATGATTATGAAGCAGATTACACAACAACAGTTCTGCTAGTAGGCACCCAAAGCATGTCATAACACAAACAACAAGAAAAACAGCTACTAACAATAATATACCAAGTACCTCTTTAAAATGACCTTTGTTCTTACCATTTTTAATATCTTCAATAACAAATTGTGTAGATGGATTTTCATTACCAGTATCTTCTTTCGTCTGGCTGATAGTTGAAATGAAATTGCTGAAAGGAGATATATCATTTTTGGATCCTCCCTCCAATCCCTGCAAATTAGGGTGGGTGGAAATACAAAACAAATATGGACACTTAGGACCGCAGAGATTCCAATTCAAGGAACATCACTTTTGCTGAAAAACAGTCAATTCATTTAGATATAAGAAACTACTGTATCAATAAAACTGAGAGCTTTCACTAGAATTCAGCAGGCTACAGATATATCTGTATATTAGAAAGTTCTCAGACAGCCAGAAGGATGGGGTGAGAGGACCCTTCTTTCAAGAAAAAATGTAGGCTAGATCTGCCAAAAAACTTATGACAGTCCTGAGAACCATCCCTAGATCTGAAGAACTCCCCATATGGAAGGCTACAATCAAATGTTGGTACACCATCAGAAGTAATCTATTCATCATAAGTGACACAAGATAAAGAAGTATCCACAATCCACACTCTAAGCTTGGACACTCTCGATAATTTTTTTGGACCCCTGTTATATTTTGTCCAGGATTGTAGAAATCACCCTGCCTTTGCTCATGTACGAAGTTATTTGCATGCACCAATGAGAGCTGTGGGGAGGCGGAGCCAGAGAGTCAGGAGTTAAGGGAGGCAGTTGAGAGTATGGAACTTAGAGAGTTAAATGTGAAATAAGTTAGTACGAATCTACTGAATATTTTAAAGTTTTTTAGGAACCTTTTTATGTGAACTGCATCCAACCTGTTTTGTTAAAATTTACAGAGTATGGACTTCAATCTTTCTAAGTACTGTATTTTTCTGTTTATAAGATGACTCCCCCTTTTCTAACCCCCAAATTAGCAAATTTGAAAATTTGCACAATTACACCCCTTTGGTCCTGAAGCCTTTTCATGGCTGCTTCAGGATCAAAGGGGTACGATCCTGCTGCCCTTTCACAGCTGCTTTACCTACTACAGTAACGCAGCCATGAAAAGGCGGCACGCTCGCACCCCTTTGATCCTGAAGCCCTCCCACGGCTGCTTTACCCTGTGGCTTCACACTGCCATGTATAAAACAACCCTCAATTTTTTGTCTAATTATTTAAGTAAAATATTGTTGACAGAGATCAACTGGTGGCAGCATAAAAGGGAATGTGGTGTGGGCCTTAGGTTAGTGAAATAATCTGGAGACACGCAAGTGGCATGTCACAAGGATATATACTCTCTTTCTACAGTATGCTGTAGCTATAAACATTCTACTCTATATCAAAGCTATGTTTTCATATCAATTTTTCAGGTGTTTGTTTTCCAAGTTACACATTCTTTGAGTAATGAATAAAAAGTGAAACAGCAGATGAAAATAGAATGCAGTTCTGTAAAAATCATTTTGATAGCCTCTGTTTGAACATATTTTGGCATAAAAACCAGAGGAAAATAGTTATTTTCAGTATGAAAATGTGTGTGTGATCAGTATAATGATTACTATAATGATGATATATGATTAAATGGGATGTAATACAGATAATCCAGGTAACTCTTCAGAGGTGGAGGAAAGAAACAGTTCCTTGGAAGAAAAATCCTTGCGTGAGATATGCAACAATATTACAAGCCACTAAAAATAGCTTAGGAAATAAAACTGATCTACTTTCTTTTCAGATATTATAGTATAACGCCCACTGATTTGATTTTATTAAAATTAAGTGCCACTTAAATCTTGCAGACTAAATTCTCATAACCACATAAGGATTGCTTTAGTATAAAAATTTAGCTGCCTTGAAAATTCAAAAGATATTAGTTCTCAAAAATGGTAGCGATTCGCAAATGAGTGTCCTGTACTCTTAATTCAGAGCTTATGGACTAAACAAGATGGTAAACCCAAGTTTGGGATAGGCAGCATTAGAATAACAATACATTTTAAATAATTTAAAAGCTATTTAAATTTTTCTACAAATAGCATGGCTGAACTGGAATGGACAGGTGGGAGAGGCAGAGTGGATAAAAATCAATGATTTTTTAAAAATCAAATTTATTTAAATCACAATTAAAGTTTAAAAAACAGAATTTTAAAATTTAAATCATCAAAAACTCTTATTTTTTAAAAAAATTAAATCATGATTTAAATCAAATCCACCTGGAGTGGGGGAAAAGGTGAACTATGGAGGACTTTACAGATACATATTTATTAACTGTGTGCTGTCAAGGCAATCTGAACCTACAGTGACCCTTTCCAGAGTTTTCTAGGTATAGAGTTTTCAGAAGTGGTTTTACCATTCCTTTCTTCTGTGTATACCCTAGGACTCTGTAGCTTGCCTCCTAAGAGGCACAGTGGGGAATTGAACTTCCAACCTCGGATTCTGCAGCCACATATCTAACTCATTTATAGTACTTACCCTATTTCCTTGAAAATAAGACCTAACTTGAAAATAAACCCCAGTATGATTTTTCAGGATGCTCGTAATATAAGCCCTACCCCAAAAATAAGCCTTAATTAAGAGAAATCCCACCCTCCATCATTATGCAGCATCCAGAGGAAGATGACTTAACTGTATTTGAATAAACATAGATTGTTGTACATGAAAAAAAACAAACACAATCCCCTGAAAATAAGCCCTAATGTATTTTGGGAGCAAAAATTAATATCAGACCCTGTCTTATTTTCAGGGAAACATGGTATCGACCCAGTCTTATAGACATGGATGCTGCCTTTCAAAACCAATGTTCAGATGTCTCTGAAAGTGTTAAAAATAAGTCGGGTAATGTTGCCTTTAAAATAAACTGTAGGGGTGTGTGGCAATCTACCCTTTGTTGCCCCTATTTATTTGGGCCCCATAAAGGAACACACCCTTTCACGCTGCCACCAGGTATTCTCCTAATACCAATTTATGTCCCACACAGGTGCTGCCAACACTAAGGGTTATACAACTTAGGAAGCAGAGATTTAATTAAGTATTATTTTATTATCAAACAAATAAAAAGTTAAATCACATATGAACTGTTTCAGGTGTTAATACATATTGGATCATGTAATCAATCACTTTTATTGTGAATTTCGTTGTATGGGTATACTGTGTATATACTTACAATGACAATAAATCATTATGATGATGATGATGATGATGATGATGATTCCAAACTGCTGTATGCTTTCAATCAATATCTCTATTGTAGTGTTTATATTTTCATTCCTGCTTGTTCAATATGGTTTAAACTTCTCAATTTCCTCTCCTAACACTCTCAGCTCAATTCACCAACCCTCTCCTTCGTTCTCCTAAACCCTAACTCTCATTCCATATCTTCAACAGTCCCTAACTCTCTCTAACTCTCACTGCCTAACTGTCTCTCCAACTCCCTAACTATCTTTCTGGCTCCGCCCCTCCTGCTCTATCCTTGGCTCCTCCCCTTTGAGTTCCTGTGATGGACAGGCAGAAATGACATCACTTTTTGACATTTCGCTACAGGGTGATAGACTGTTAGGTAGCCAGCCTACCATCTTGACCACTGTCATTGTTCTTTGCCTACTCAGATCACCCTTCTCCTCGGGGCAACAGTTTGCTTCTTTGCTCCCCTTCATCTGCAATGGAGGGATGCCTGTGTGGGTATCTTCATGTTGGTGGTTAACACACATGCACACTTAGAAGTAATTTCTTCTGTACAGAACTCTAGGTTTTATCCTGAATGATTTCTTGGCAAAAGTCTGTTTTTCTTTTTCCTTACTGTGAGTATCCTAAGTGATTATTCCCAATTCATGGCCATAACTTTACCTTACTAGTGCGCTTCACTCTGTTAAGATAATTACCACAAATTCCTATGGAAAGTAGGCTTTAGATATTGCCCCAATCACATGGGACCAGCTCACCTATATGAGCAGCTTTTAGACAGCAATGAAAATATCAAGTGATCCAAACTCATAGACAGGGTCTGGTTACATGCAGCTTTTTGACGGAATTTACAGTTGCTTTTTCTAGTCCAGTGAGAATTTTATGCACTGGGCCATGTTCACACAGCTGATCACTTGCACCTGTGTAGACACTGCTTACTGACTAACAACCTACATACACTTGGAACACCATACAGCTGCAACAAAAGAGTTGGAAAAAATATAGCCCACATGCTGTTTCACCACAACCCACAAGGCTTTAAGGTGGGCTTTAAGTGGGCCCCTACAGGTGAGCTGACCCCTCATCACCATATTCCCTCTCCTGATGTCATATAGAGTGCTATTTTCTCATAGGTGAGAGCAAGAATTTTTTTAAAATTAGAATTATGGGGGTGGGGTAGAGAGAAATCTCATCACTCACTTCTTTAGAAATCCATATAAAGAAAACTGGCCAGAATCTTTTGGAGATTTATGACAGCACGTGTGTCATGGGACAAATTATGATGGCAAATTGCCACTAACAAATTGCCACTTGCATGCCTAGTTGTGTGCCAGTCACAGAACCTGGCTCATGACTAGGAAATCAAACAGTAATTTTTAAATTAGCAACAATCTACCACTGTGATTCACTCCATTACACTTACACTGGCATAAATCCACAAGAGGATTGTGGCCGCTCTTTCCATGCTGGAAAGAGCAGCCTCTTAAGAGCTGGAGAGAATGCTGAGATGTGCATGTATGCAAGCACATGTGCATACAACTGAAATCAGTGGAAACTTATCTTCTTTCCATGCATTGATGTTGGAAACTTTATGACTGTGTTGTTTTCCACAATGGCAGTGGTGTGGGTGGATCTCACCTACAGAAGCTAGCTTAACACACTCTCACAGGTACCACTGCCTTGCAACCTAAAGAAAAGCTCTTTGCAGTAAATCAAGTCCAGTCCAATAGCTTCCCTTTCCTTTCTTGATTTAAAATGTTTTATAATCACTGACGTTTGTTACTAAAATATCATTGTGTTCCTGTCTCTCCATCTGTTCTTCTCTGTAGACACAATGAAGTAACTATGCTTTGCGGTAGCACATTTATAATTTTAACACATATTTTTAACTTCCTCTTTTGTCAGCTCCATTCAAGCCATTCAGATAACTAATTTTAATATGTGAGAATAGTTTATTTTCCTTCTAATAAAATAAACAGACTGGCTTTCCCTACATTA